CAAGAAGGGGTTAGCGGAGTGGCTCAAGTGGTAGAGCACCTACTTAGCAAGTATGAGGCCCTGAGTCCAAACCCTAAGTACCACCAAAAAGAGAAACAAAACCACAAAACAAGAAAAGAAAAGTCACTTTCAAAAGTTTAAATCTAGTTTTCGTCTGATTTTGTTTAAATCTAGTTTTGTCTACTAAAGTATGCATATTTATAGGACACCATGTGATGGGGGAGAGAGGGAGAGGGAGGGAGATGATGATGATGATGATGATGATGATGATGATGATGGTAGCATCTGCAGGCATAGAGTTGTATACCTACAAGGAATGATGCTGGAACAAAGAAGACATGAGTTATGGGATGGAAGCTGAGCATGGGATGGCTGGGGAGCTTTTGCGTGTCAGGGAAGTGATTTTCTTCTACTTCTTTTTGTCCATAGGATAATAAGACAGCTAAACACCCCAGTAGCAGGACCGGCCCAAGACATTGTCCGCAGGTCAGATAATGGCACACATTGTGTACTAAATTATGAATAAGCTTGTCTCTGCTTTATGCCACCGAGCTTTGAAACCATCCTTTATGCTGTCAGGACTGTAAGCCGCCCTGGGAGGCAATTTCCCTCATTATCATAATAATATCAGTAGCAGAATCGAATCATAGGTAGTTGGTTCTGGGAAATTAATATAAAATTGCTTTATGGGTTAGCATGAAGGTACCTAATCACTTAGATTGTGCTCATGTGAGGGCGAATGGATGCACTCCTGAATCTTTAATAGGGTAAGAAAATCAATCTCTTTTTTTTGAAAGTGAAGATTGTTTAATACTTACAAGAAAAGTTGAAGAATTTTCTCAGATTTTATGAGCTGCAGGAGGGCTTCACGGAGAGCTGCTCTCCGCAGTGTCAGCTTCTCCTAGACTCCAGCCTGCGTCAGTTCCAGTCATTTCTTTGTCACCCACATGATGTTCTTTGCAGCTGCACCCCATGGCAGGCTGGCAGTTTTTGTCCCTTTTCTGAAATTTAAGGGGAGGATGTCATTTCTCATTATGAAATTACATGGTCATTGTAAAGGGTTTGGAAATATGATGAAGGGTACCCCTACAACCCAAAGGTAACCTCAGTTACTGATGTTTTCTCTAATTTACATATAACTGTGCCAATAACCTATAAGCACATTTTTATGGAAAAAATGAAGTCATTACCTGAGTACCCCAGATCTAAGACTAGCACCCCTATCCTGTCAGTACTCTTCTCCAGTAGTAATATGTTCTGTTAGGCCTTCTCTTTTCGGTTTCTGAATATGTTTTTAGGAAATATGTATAGTAGAGTTCTTCCTCTTTTGTTGGTTTTATGAACTCAAGTATCAAACTGTGGATTTACAGTGTGTGTGTGTGTGTGTGTGTGTGTGTGTGTGTGTGTGTATCTCTGTATGTGTGCAAGGGCACGTGCGTGCTGGTACTGGGACTTCAACTCTGTGCTCTTGCCCAGTGTTTCATTCATGACTGGCATTCTTCCACTTGGGTCACACCTCCAGTTTAGCATTTTGCTGGTTACTGGGAGGCAGTCTTTCCTGTCTTGGCTGGCTTCAAATCTTGATCCTCAGATCTCAGCCTCCTGAGTAGCTAGGATTCTAGGTGTGAGCCCGCAGTGCTCTGCTGCAGTCGTTTTTGTTAGAAGGAGATATAATGATACGACCACATCACTTCCTAAAGAAAGGTATTAGGGAAGAAATGATCACAACTATTGGGAAGCCTATTTTCCTGATGACAGATGAGGATTGACGCTTCCCAAGTGGCCGTGCGTGGGACAGGGGCCTGTGGTGGTGGCTCCTGTGGGAGGAGGGCCGGCTGGCGTTCTGCACCGAGGCCTGGGCGGTGCGTGTCCTGCTGTCTGCTGTCCGCCGTCTCCTTGGACATGTTGTGACTGGCCAATGCTGCTGATTCCTAAGCGCTCGGGAGAGTTGCTTTGGGGTTTTGTGGATTGCCTCACACCAGTCATAGCAACCCTTGTTGTCAAGTTCTAGGCTTGGTGAGGATGTTTCAGGAGTGTGTCAAGCAGCAGTTGAGCAGTTGGTCATGGTGGTTTCTGGCTGTGAACCAGATGTGTCCCTGGGGGCTGCTGAGAGGAACAGGAAATTCTCCTCCGTGTGATCTCCTTCATGTGCCGGCATAAACCAACGCTTTCCTTACAGGACTGTCACAAAGACCACAGGAGCTGGAGACTGGGTAGAGGTGGGCAGAGATCTCTGTCCCAATAATTCCCTAGGAAAGAAACAGCCCTAGGGGCTGCCCCCCACCAGCCCTACAGGCCCCCCCGGCCCAACCTCGCCCCACGGGTATGGGTGCCTGCCTCATGTGTTTCTTTTGCTGTGATAGTTTAGTGAGCTGTCAAGGGCAAAAACTGAAGCTTTACAAAGTAAAATTTATGGGCATTACCCCGTGGGTCAAGGGCTTACCTCCAAATATAGGAGTGATTTCCCAGGTATGGAGTTTTGATTATAATTATTATTATAATTATCAACTTACTCTTATTTTGTTTAAGACTGAGGTTTGAACTCAGGGCCTTGCACTTACCAGCCGGAGTTCTAACCACCGAGCTGTGCCTTCCGTTGATTTTTATTCCCCTCCCTCTCCTCCTCCTGCTGGCTGTTTTGGGGAGAAGCCCTCACTTTCTGCCTGGCTCTGTCCCTGTGTGCTATCTGGCTATTTTAGGCTTTCCATTGTAGTTAGAGGCATGTGCCATTGTGTTCAGCTCTTCGTTGAGATAGGGTCTCTGAAATAACTTTGTCCTGGCTGGCCTCCAATTGTGATCCTCATCATTGTTGAATGTAGCTAGGATTATAGGTATAAGCCACTGGCACCCAACTGGCATCCTTATTTTTCATCTGCTCCATCAGTGAAGCTGAGAATTCCCTTTTGGGGGGACAGGTGCACTCTGTGCTTCCCTGCTGTGTCTAACCTCATGCATTCGTTCTGCCAACTCCAGGAGTGATGAGGAGATCGAGTAGAAAGAGCAGATGGCAGCATTGGGATGGGCTGGGAAGGTGGCTCAGTGGTAGAGCGCTTGCCTTGCATGCCTGAGGCCCTGGGTTCGATTCCTCAGCACCACATAAGCAAAAAGAAAAAAGCCGGAAGTGGTGCTGTGGCTCAAGTGGTAGAGCACTAGCCTTGAGCTGAAGAGCTGAGGGACAGCGCCCAGGCCCAGAGTTCAGGCCCCATGACCAGACCAAAAAAAAAAAAAAAGACCTTTTCCATTTAAATCATGTGGTCTTGTCACTAGACAAGCGAGACGAGGTCCTCTTCGTCGGTCATCTTCGTAGGCTGGGACTGGGAGAACAGTGGCGGTCTCACGATGAGACAAGAAGTAGCTTTCGCCCCTTCCTTCCTCCAATAGCTCTTGGTTGATGCTTTTAGTTTTGGGCAGAAGTCAGACAGCATTTGGGATGGGGAAGGAAATATAACCGGCCAAGGCCAATCCTGTGCTCTTCTTTCTTGTTTTCTTTCTTTTCTTTTTCTTTTGTCGGTTGCAGGGCCTGAACTCTGGGCCTGGGCGCTGTCCCTCAGCTCTTCAGCTCAAGGCTAGCGCTCTACCACTTGAGCCACAGTGCCACTTCTGGTTTCACGGCCTTTCCTGCCCTGGTTGTCTTTGAACCGCAGTTCGCAGATCTCAGCCTCCTGAGCAGCTAGGATTATAGGCGTGAGCCACCACTGCCTGGCTATTTCTTGTTTTCTTTAGTGCTGGCACTTCATGCAATGCCCTGGGGCCACCATACCCCTGAATCTGACTCTTGCTACTGTACAGGATGAAACGGCATCAATTGGCTCACCAGAATTGCAGCTCAATTGGATCACCAGAATTGCAGCGTGAGAATTGTGACCATTGGTGTCTCAAAATGAAAGGATCTAGTTTTTCAATCATACCTCTGAGCCTCACCCACCCTCTTATTTTTGTCACGAGTCAGGGTTTTGTGATATTTCCCGGACTGGCAATGATTGTCTGTCTATGTCAGATCCCACTACTGTCTAGAGTGAGCGCGTCATTGGTTCCTGGGCCGCCTCCTGTAAGATGACAAATGCCCTTTCCTGCCCCTGAGCCCCTCCCTCACCTCAATAGCAGAACCTCAATTGCAGTGTCTGAATAGCAGCACCTGTGGGGCCCCTGAGCTGTGCGCCCCTCCCCCACTCTGAGTAGCAGGCCTGGCCCAAGACCTCCGCCTCCATAGTACCATCTGTGGGAGGGACTGGTAAGGCACTTCCTGCCTCCAGCTTCAGGTGAAACACCTCAAGCCCCCGATGGTATAAAGGGGTTGCCCAGGGGGTGGGCCTGTGCCATTTTCTCTCCCCTCGCGTGAGAACTTGGCCTTGTTGGCTCTGCTGGCAATACATCTTTCCTCCTATGTGACTTTGTCTGTCTGGTCTTTGGGGTTACTGTCTATTTGGGTTATTTTCTTTTACATCCTTTTGAACTTTTTTTTTCCTGTGCCAATCCTGGGGCTTGAATTCAGGGCCTGAGCATCGTCTCTGAGCTTTTGTGCTCAAGGCTAGTCCTCTACCACTTGAGCCACAACTCCACTTCTAACTTTTTTTGGTGACAAGAATTTCATGGATTTCTTGCTTGGAGTTGGCTTGGGACTGGGATCCTCAGATCTCAGCCTCCTGAGTCACTAGGATTACAGGTGTGAGCCACCTAGGTGTGCCCAGCTAGGATCTTTCACGTTTGATTGGGTCAGCCTCAGAACACAGTCCTCCTACCCATGCCTCCCATGAAATTGGGGTTACCGTGTATACCACCTAGCATGTTGGTCTTGCTAACTTTTAGCCTGGGCTGGCCTCAAATTGTGATCCTTACAATATCTGGCTCCCAAGTAGCTGAGATTACAAGAATGCGCTACCATGTTAAGTCTTGGTAGCACTTTTGATATAATTGAAATACAAAGAGAACTGTCTAGGCTTTCTTTGTGCAGCTGTATAGAGAAACCTGTTTACCATTCCCTTTAATGTTATCTCCCCCAGGACATTTATGGTCATTCTTTGGAAGTCCCAGTCACCCGGGAGCAGTTAAACCGCTATCGGGATGTGGCTGAAAATGTTCAGAGCGAACTTGCAGCCACTTTGGTCAAGTTTGAATGCGCTCAGTCTGAGGTAAGAGTGTCCACACTCGCCAATCAGAAGGGGCTGAGCAGGATATAGAGTTGGGAATGGAGATAGTTGGATACAGATAAAAACATTTTCGCCTCAGGTTTATCCCTGATCTTCTCCTGGGGCGTGCCTGCCCTTGCCATGCTGTAGAAGCGGGCAGTGCCTGCATTCCAGAAGCTCCGCCTCCTCGCACAGTCTGGGGCACCTGAGGGCCTTTGTGGAAGCTGTCTGGAGAAATTTCCAGCGTCTTCTAGAATACCTTCCTTTAAGGTGGATCACTCGAAGTCTGGAACACTTACAAGGGAATTCTGAATTCCTTCATTAGGGAAGTTCTGTTGGCCGGAGAAAATTCTGGAAAGAGGTTGGGATCCATGGGCCCTTTGCGTCTCCTGAGAGGCATTGGCTGATTGCCCAGAGGTCTGAGGAGTCCACGCTGGCCTGGGAGGTGACCAGTACTGTCCCTGAGGCTGCTGGGACCTGCTGAATGATGAGCTGATACTCTGTGTATGTGTGTGTGATCTCAGTCTCCTGAATAGCCAGGATTACAAGCGTGAGCCACCCATGCCATGCCTGGGTTTAGTTTTCTTCTCACTCACAGTGATGGCTCAGAAAGTGAGGGGAGCAGGGGCTGGGAAGGTGGCTCAGTGGTAGAGCGCTTGCCTTGCATGCCTGAGGCCCTGGGTTCGATTCCTCAGTACCACATAAGCAAAAAGAAAAAAGCCAGAAGTGGTGCTGTGGCTCAAGTGGTAGAGTGCTAGCCTTGAGCTGAAGAGCTGAGGGACAGTGCCCAGGCCCAGAGTTCAGGCCCCACGACCGGACCCAAAAACAAAACAAAAAAAAAAAAAAAAAAAAGAAAGTGAGGGGAGCACTGTGATTGGCTGGACAGTCTTTCTTTACTTGGGAAAGGTTGTGAATATCAAATCACAAACCATGTGGCTTGTTGATTCCTTGAACTGCTGGTTCTCAGCAGTAAAAGTAGCAACACGAGAATGCAGAGAATTGGTGACCACTGGAAAGGGTTGTATGGCTTTGAGCAGTGTCCCCACACATGTTTTGTGAGTTGACCCAAGACATTGCTCATTTTGTTTTGAAAAAGAGTATGAAGTCTGTTATTAAGATGGAATTTTCTAGGCCAGTTGCTGGTGGCTCACGCCTATAATCCTAGCTACTCAGGGGCTGAAATCTGAAGATTGGTCCAAAGCCAACCTCGGCAGGAAAGGTTGTGAGACTCTTATCTCCAATGAACCACCAGAAAACCAGAAGTGGAACTGTGGCTCAAAGTGGTAGAGCACTAGCCTTGAGCAGGAAAAGCTCAGGGACAGCACCTAGGCCCTGAGTTCTAGCTCCACAACTGACAAAAAAAAGATGCAATTTTCTATTTGCTTATACAAATACAAGTGGGAGAAAAAGAAAAGGAAGCTGGATTAAGTCATGAAGAAAAGAGTGAGAATGTTTTTCTTTTTCTTTTTTTGTGCGCCAGTATTGGGACTTGAATTCAGGGCCTGGGTACTGTTTCTACACTTATCACCCAAGGAATGTGCTCTACTATTTGAACCACAGCTTCACTTCCAGCTCTTTGGTGGTTAATTGGAGATAAGAGTCCCATAGACTTTCCTGCCAAGGCTGGGTTCAAACCGAGATCCTTAGATCTCAGCCACCTGAATGGCTAGGATTGTAGGCATGAACCACCAGCATTGGGTGTAGAAGTAAGATGGTTTCAGCTTTCTTATATGTCCTTCACATGGTACACTGTTACATCCATTTTCTTTCTTCCTTTCTCTTTCTATTCCTTTTCATATTAGCTTCGAGACCTCCGCTCTAAGATGCTTTCTAAAGAAGTTTGCTGTCAAGAACTAAAGGCTGAGATGGAGAGCTACAAAGAAAGCAATGCCAGGAAATCATCTCTCGTCACCTCGTTGAGAGACAGAGTTCGTGAGCTGGAGGAAGAATTAGCAGCACTTTCCACTTCTAAAAGCAGGATAGAAATCACAGCTCAGACTGCAACCAAGGAGAGCCAGAGACTAATGAAGAAAGTCACAGAACTGGGGGAGCAATTACAGTAAGTATGGCGCCATTAAGCTTCGTAGTTTAACCTAGTGGCCACATTCATTTCTGACAGCCACTAGTTTCTGTTCTTGAATGTGCTTTGAATGCTGTGTACTATTTGGCCCTGAAACCCAATCTGAAAAAAAAGTTATTGGCCTCAAATACCTTTGCAATCTTGAACAATTTTCCTCAGTTCTTTCTAAACATCAAGTATCTTAACAAACAGATTGTTGTCATAGGTTTGGTTATAGCACTCACCACGCGGATTATATGCATAACTGGATTGCAGTGTGCATTCTTGGAAATGGAGATTTAACCCTGAGGTGGTCGGAAGTCCACAGAAGAAAGCACTTATTAAGAAGCTAGTTATAAAAGTACCAGGAAGCCAGACCACCCCAAACATTCCTCATTAGGTTTGATGCCCAATTTAGGCAAAGATCTCAGGAAACCTAGGTTACCATGCTTAGTTCTGAAAAGAGATGACCACTGAGGCAAAATTGGGAGCTGCCTGCATCTAAAATATATCTCATTAATACATATGACTTTACTGTCACGTGTGTGTGTGTGTGTGTGTGTGTGTGTGTGTGTGTGTACACATGTGCATACAGATGGCAGGTGGTAGGGCTTGACAGGAGGTACATTTATGTGGTTATGGGCAGATTCCTGAAACTTTATTGGGTCAGATGAAATATGAATAGAAGTGAGTGTAGTTTAGAGACCTTTGAAATGGAGACATAAGCTTGCAATCCTAAGGTTAATGTCTGAATGATATAAACAAACCAACAAGAGCAATAGCATTCATTGTGCCCAAGACGCTGAGTAAATATTACCTTCCATTTGCTAAAAACAGGAACCCAGGGACATATTGGTTCTTTGTTTTTGAGTTTTCTTTTTTTATGATTAATTTTTTATTGTTATTAGAAAGGTGATATACAGAGATGTTACCATTTCATAAGTCAGGTAATGAGTAAATGTCTTTCTCTTTTTTTTTGGTTCCATAATGCTTTATTTATAGATAGACCATAGTAGATGATAGACAGACAGATGATAGGTAAATGTTACCAGAGTCTTCAATAGGACAGTGCCAGTCTATCAAGTATGAGGCCCTGAGTTCAAACCCCAGTACAATAAAACATATTATGTGCAGTGATAACTGTGACAATATAAACATGCATTTAGCTTTTCTTTTTATCTATCTATCTGTCTGTCTGTCTATCTATCTATCTATCTATCTATCTATCCAACTATCTATCAATCTATCTAATCATCTGTCTTACTGAAGGAATGAGAAAGTGCCATTTGAGCTGGTATTTATTCATATTGTTTCCAGAAGAGAGAGTCCAGCTTTTGAAAGCATCCTTAAATGTTTATTTTCCTCAGGAGAGGAAGCAGCCAGCTGAAGGTATCTTCTAATAAAAGGAAAGAATCATTAGCATATTGCTCAAGGGGCCTGGGTGGGGCTGGGAAGGTGGCTCAGTGGTAGAGTGCTTGCCTTGCATGCATGAGGCCCTGGGTTCAATTCCTCAGCACCACATAAGCAGAAAAAGCTGGAAGTGGCACTGTGGCTCAAGTGGTGGAGTACTAGCCTTGAGCTGAAGAGCTGAGGGACAGTGCCCAGGCCCAGAGTTCAAGCCCCATGACTGACCAAAAAAAAAAAAGGGGGGCAGGGGCCTGGGTTAAGATCAATAACTCATTATTGCCTTAGTGATTTGATACTTAAGTATTAACAAAATACATTTCTTTTTGGACAATGTCATCCTTTTCTTTATTGTATGTTTTTTTCTTTTTTCTTTTTTTGGGTCTGGTCGTGGAGCCTGAACTCTGGGCCTGGCCGCTGTCCCTCAGCTCTTCAGCTCAAGGCTAGAGCTCTACTACTTGAGCCACAGAGTCACTTCTGGCTTTTTTCTTTTTTCTTATGTGGTGCTGAGGAATGGAACCCAGAGCCTCAGGCATTCAAGGCAAGCACTCTACCACTGAGCCACCTTCCCAGCCCCTTGTATATTTTTTTTCTAAATGGAAAGATGATATGCTTTTGAGTATATGCAGTTAATGTGTTTCGTTACTCTGTGAATAGAGGGAAAAATTGCAGTAAACACTCACCATGGGGAAAAAGATAAAGCCATAATCATGCTTATTGCCTAGGATATTGAAAAAGTGACACCACATTTCTGAAATTTCCCTCTAATGTGTGTCTAATTTTTCATGATATCTTAGCCTTGCATATTTTAACCATTAATAATGTATGATACAATTTCGGTAGACCTATCTGAAAATTAAATGAGATAGTATAGGACAGAAGTCTCCCAATTGTCTTTGACAGGCCATTCCGGTGTTCTTCCCATATTCTTTAAAGATTCTGGGTATTAGCTGCTCATAATGATATTTACCAGTCATTGAACATCTCTTCCAGGTATGGGATCATCCATCCTCTGTTCCTGATATATGTCACCCTTGTAAGTCATTGTGGAGCGTTTACAGATAAATGAATGTTGCTCCTCGGGTACCAATAGTGTGCCTCTCTCTTTCCTCCTGAGCCCTGAGTGGAAACCTAGAGCTATGTGGATTTTGACCCTACACATGAGGAAGAGTCTGTACATAGTCTAGAAACCCTTCTCCTCTGCCACTGAGCCTACATCTCCCCTCCTCTTATTAAGTCTAAGGTGCCTTGAGGGTTCCTGAAGAAGGCAGAAAATTGCTTCTGCATTTCTCCCTTCCTAGCAGGGCTTGGCTGACAATAATTTGCACTGGGTTTGGGAAACTATTGTATTGAAAATGACAATGATTTCCCACAAATTGCTGAAGTTCTGACTTCTGCGGTATTATTTGCTCGTTAGGAAGTGTTCAATGGAAAAAGAAGAGACTAAGAAGCAAGCCTCAGAGAACTGCAGGAGACACGAGGAATTTCTAACTCAACTTTGTGATTGCTTGGATCCAGAGAGGAAGCGCGAGGAGGCACTGAAAGAAGATTTCATTTCAAAGGTGTTTGCATGAAGATGAAAGAGATGATCAATACACGGTTCTGACAGGAAAAGAAGTGCTGTGCTGAGTCTAGGGGTGGCAGGAGGCTGGGATAGTACCTAAGGACAGCACACATTCCCTGCGGGAATTATCCACACCCGCTCTGAGCTTCACTTCCAGCGTCCCTCACGAGTGTTATTTGAGATCACTCTCCAAGTATTACTTACTTTGCCTAAGATATATTTACATGGCCATATGCATTTGTTTATTGGTTAATAGTTAATTTTTTTGTCACGGGGCTTGAACTCAGGGCCTTGATACTATCCTTGAGCTTTTTTTTTGTTCTCAAGGCTAGCAGTCTCCTACTTTGAGCTCCACTTCCAGTTTTCTGGTTGTTAATTGGAGCTAAGAATGTCACAGCCTTTCCTGCCCAGCCTCCAGAGTAGCTCGGATTATAGGCATGAGCCACCAGTGCCAGGCTAAGAATTAATCTTAATATGTCTTTGGGACATTTTTTTCCCGTTAGTTCCAAATGCAATCACAAAATCAGGAATGTGTTGTTTGAGGAATATTTATTAATATAAGGATAAGATTAGGAGTCTCCCTATATTTATTGTTTTTCCCTGAGAATCTTATAAATGTGCCCAGTGGATAATTCTAATACATAACACCGGAAGCAAAATGCCCTGATAATCTTAGCCCTCAATGTAAGTATCCAGGATTTTTCTGTTTGCTTTCATCTGCCTGCCTGCCTGCCTGCCTATCTGTCTGTTTACGTATCTATGGGTGCTTTAAGTATTTTATGTGCCAGTATTGGGTCTTGAAATCAGAACCCAAGCATTGTTTCTTAGCATTTTTTGCTCAAAGCTGGCATTCTACCACTTGAGCCACAGTTTTTACTTCTGGCTTTTTTTCTGTTTCGTTGGAGGTAAGAGTCTCATAGACTTTCCATCTGGTGCTGGCTTCAAACCGTTGATCCTCAGATCTCCGCCTCCTGAGTAGCTAGGATTACGGGTACCAGCCACCAGTGAACGGCTTGTTTTAGGCTACCTTTGATAAGCAGTCTTGTGTTCTCTGCATGTCACCATGCCAATAGCTCCGCGCACGCAGCGGGAGCAGGTGGGAATGGAAGGGCTGAGTGAGGCTTCTGCTCCACGGCTGGTTCTCACCTCCTTACACAGTCCCGCCACCTCCAGTGCTTCCCCATGCTTTCTGAGGCTTGTGGCTGTTGCTTTCTCCGGGAGCTTCAACTTCCTTCCTATCTTCCTTGTCCTGTGTCTACCTGGTGCATAATTTTTAGTTGATCACTGAGTCAGCCCCTAACGAGCTGAGTTTCAAGATTGCCTTTGCTTGGATCTATGGAGGGATATGATTTTAATATTTTTTATCAGAATAGGCTCTACTACCAGGCTATGGACTGAGTGGTGCAGACAAAGGAAAGTGTTAATGTTTTAGTTATAATTACTTTGTGCTCAGGTTAGAAAGCTGTGTGAGGAAAATGCATCTCTGAGAGGACAAGTGGTTACTCTTGAAGAGGCAGTAAATGCCCATGAGATGGAAGCAAAAGCTAACAGAGAGACGATCATGAGGCTGGCATCGGAAGTCAAGGAAGAGCAGAGAAAATCTGCCTGCTGGATGGACGGGAATGACAGGCTGAAGCAGGTACAGCATGCCGTGTGTGTGTGTGTGTGTGTGTGTGTGTGTGTGTGTGTGTGTGTGTGTGTGTGTGTGTGAGCCATAATTAATAAAAGCTGTTTTCATGTAAACAAATAAGTAATATATTTACAAGATCTAAAATTCTAAATGTAGCTGGGAGCTGGTGGCTCACGCCTGTAATCCTAGCTGCTCAGGAGGCTGAGATCTGAAGGTCACAGTTCAAAGTCAGCCCAGGCAAGAAAGTCTCTGTGAGGCTCTTACCTCCAATTAACTATCCCCCCAAAAAGTAAAGCTGTGCTTTAAGTGGTAACGTTTTATCCTTGCATGCAAGAGCTCAGGGACAGTGCCCAGGCCCTGAATTTAAGCCCCAGGACAAGACACCAAAAAAAAAAAAAAAATTTCAGGCTGGGAAGGTGGCTCAGTAGTAGAGAGCTTGCCTTGCATGCATGAGGCCCTGGGTTCGATTCCTCAGCACCACATAAGCAAAAAGAAGAAAGCCAGAAGTGGGGTTGTGGCACAAGTGGTAGAGCACTAGCCTTGAGCTGAAGAGCTGAGGGACAGCACCCAGGCCCAGAGTTCAGGCCCCACGACCGGATCCCCCCCCCCCAAAAAAAACAATTCTAAATGTCTAAAGGCTGGACACCCGTGGTTCCCGCCTGTAATCCTATCTACTCAGGAGGCTGAGATCTAAGGGTCTCAGTTCAAAGCCAGCCCAGGAAGGAAACTCTGTGAGACTCTGATCTCCAAGAAACCACTAGAAAACTGAAAGTGGCGCTGTGGCTCAAGCGTAAAGCACTCGCCTTGAGCTGAAGAGCTCAGGGACAGCGCTGAAGCCCAGAGTTCAAGCCCCAAGACTGACCAAAAAAAAAAAAAAAAGATACACAGTAGGCTGGGAAGGTGGTTCAGTGGTAGAGTGCTTGCTTTGCATGCATGAAGCCCTGAGTTCAATTCCTCAGCACCACATAAGCACAAAAAGCCAGAAGTGGTGCTGTGGATCAAGTGGTAGAGCACTAGCCTTGAGCTGAAGAACTGAGGGATAGTACCCAGGCCCAGAGTTCAAGCCCCAGGACTGGCAAAAAAACAAAAACTCAAAAAAACCAAAAAAAAACGGTACACAGTGAATACTTCTCCCTCATTCCTCTCTCAAAGCACACATTTCTCCTCTGAGGAAATTCGTTTCTTTTAAATCCTTCTGGAACTCTTGTGTGCACATGCATGCATATAATGTATAAAAGCATGTTTCTCAGCTGGGTGCTGGTGGCTCATGCCTGTAATCCTGGCTAACTCAGGAGTATGAGATCTGAGGATCATGGTTCAAAGCCAGCCTGGGAGGAGGGGGGGGGTGAGCTTCTGAGACTTGTATCTTCAATTAACCACCAAAAAAAGCTGGAAGTTGAGCTGTGTTTCAAGTGGGAGAGCACTAGCATCGAGCATAAAAGCTCAAGGACAGTGCCCAGGCACCAAGTTCAAACCCCAGGACTGGCACACACAGAAAAGAATATATCTCATCTAATATATAACACATTCATTTTTATATAGTGTAAAATGGTATACTATATATGGTATCATTATTAGTAAGGCTGCCATGAATAATCTTATATAATTTTTAATGAGTCATATAAAATCCAATCCTAGAAGACCTGCTGGGATCCAAGTAGATAAAAATTAAAAACTGTGTTTGGAAGTGCTGGATTTTGAACAGAAAGCCCTGCGCTTGCCAAGCAAATGCCCTACTACTCGAACCTCTCCCAGTCCTTTCTACTTCAGTTATTTCTCAGAAAAGGTCTTGGGGTTGCCTGGGCTGATCTGAACCATGACCTTTCTACTTCCAACTCCTGAGTAGTGGGCATTACAGGTGTGCCCCACCACACCTGACGGACATTTTGAAATTCTGAGGGGTGTTGATCAAAAGGAGTCTTATTCCTAATTTAATTTACACATGCATTGCTTGACATTTTCAGTTAACTAGATCTGTTTGAGCATGAAAATTACTACCGTATGTTTAATGCCGTCTAATCCGTTAATTATGTTCGTTAAAGTTTTTGGAAAAGAAACCAATTATTGGATTAGTAATAACAACCAACTTCCAAAAGCAGAAGTGAACTGGAGCAATTTGTTAATAAAAGTACACTGGAGAAAAGTGTGTGTGTGTGTGGGGGGGGCTGGAGAAGGAGATGGAGTTGAGATTAGAGAGAGGGAGGGCCCGTGCTCTCCCAGGCTGAGCAGGAGGGTGGCTTTGATGTGTGGGCGTGGCGTGGCCGTGTGGGCGTGGCGCCGCCGGTGGGCGTGGCGCCGCCGGTGGGCGTGGCGCCGGCGTGGTGGGGCCGCGCCTTCCTCACCTTGACTGGCTGTAGTGATGTGGGGAGCTGTGGCCGCCTCTTCTTCGCGCACGTCATTTTTGGGAAAAGAGCTGAAGATTGTATCATGGTTATCAACCACATGTCCTGGGCAGCTTGTGTTAGCATAACAGATGACCACACAGGGTCTTCGGTCTAGCTCAATGCAAGAGCTCCGTCCTAGCATGCATGAGGCCCTGGGTTTGACACCAGGCAAGGCAAAAAATAAAGCAGAACAGGGCTTAGGCAAGAGTTCTGGGGAAGTCCGAAGTCAGGGTGCAGCGGAGGTTGAGTTCTGGGGAGGCTAGCTTTCTAGCTCAGAGAGGCCCGTCTTCTTGTTGGGTTCTCACCTGGGTAGGGGAGGGGATGGATAAAGGAAGAGAGAGGAGGGGAGAAGTAGGGAACAGAAGGGACAGGAGAGGGGGAAAGAGGGAGGAGAAAGGAGACAGTCACTTTAAAAAATTATTCATTCACTTATGTTAAGGGTAAACAGAGAAACCTTACTTCACAGTGAAAAAACCATGAAAGGAGAGTGGGGAGACCCCAAAGAGAAGCCCAGAGAAGCTCTTAGGCTTTGCACTGATTTGTTGATGGCTTATGCATGCACCACCCTGGCCGCTCCTTTCGTTGGCTGAGCAGGCATGTAGGGCGTGAGGGGCAGAAGAAGAGTTTGAGTGGGAACTCATTAATTTTTTTTTCAAATTCTTCATTGTGATTAAGTGATTACATAATTTCCCAAATTTCACAGTATTGTGGGATAGGGATGCTTAGTTAAAGTCACATCACATTCTAACCTCCGTGGGGCAAATTGTCTATCAGGGTCTATAACATTTATGAGTTCTATGAGCTTTGCAATACAGTTATTTCTTCCACATTGGGTGATATGTACATTTCTTTTGTTTTGCATAGGGTTAGCTGTTCCCTCTTTCCCACTTGTTCCCTCCCTCCCATCACTGCCATTAAATTGCTTAGTTCATTTTGACCAATGTCCAGTGCAGCTGATGGGTCTCGCTGTTGTTTCCCTGCGGTGTACACATATATACCATACATGTGATCAGCAGCATGGGGTTATTTAGTAGTGATTTGACCCAGATGAGTGGAAGTCCTTTGTTTCTTAATCTTGTTAATTTTGTCATATCACCTTACCTTTTGGATTTAACATCCACTTATCAGGGAGACCATGTGCCATTTGTCTCTTTGCTCTTGGCTTAGTTCATTCAACATGATTTCTTCTAGCTCCATCCATTTCCCTGCAAATGCTATTATTTTGTCCTTTCTAATGGCTGCATAATATTCCATTGTGTACAGATACCACAATTTTTAGATCTATTCATCTGTGGTAGGCATCTGGGTTGTTTCCTTATCCTGGCTGTTGTGAACATTGCTGCAATAAACATGGAGGTGCATGTGTCCTTGTATTCTGGTTCCTGTTGTTCAGGATAGATGCCTAGAAGTGGTATGACTGGGTCATAAGGGAGGTCAATATTTAGCTTTCTGAGGACCCTCCAGACTGCTTTCCAAAGTGGTTGTATAAGTGTACATTCCCACCAGCAGTGTAATAGGGTTCCTCTTTCTCCACATCCCCTCCAGCATTTGTTGTTGGCTGACTTGTGGATGTGGGCCATTCTGACTGGGGTAAGGTGGTATCTCAGGGTTGTCTTTATTTTCATTTCCTTTACAACCAGGGATGGTGAACATTTCCTTATGTGTTTCTTTGCCATTTTTATCTCTTCTTCTGAGAAGTCTCTCTTTAGTTCCCTTGCCCATTTAGTAATTGGTTTGTTAGATTTGGGAGGGATTAGTTTCTTGAGGAACACACTAATTTTTTAAAAAATTATTTTATTTTTTGCTGGTCCTGAGGCTTGAACTCTGGGCCTGGGCACTATCTCCGAGCTTCTTTTGCTCGAGGCTAGCGCTCTACCACTTGAGCCACAGCACCACTTCTGGATTTTTTTTGAATAGTTTATTGGGGATAAGAATATCATGGAGTTTCCTACCTGGGTTATCTTTGAACCACAATCCTCAAACCTCAGCCTTCTGAGTAGCTAGGATTACAGGCATGAGCCAGTGGCGCCCAGCTTCATATTAATTTTTAATTCAATTATTAAGACTTGGAAATTAGGAAGAATTTTATATTTTTCCATAAAATACATCTTTATGTTTGTCCATAAAATACATCATTAGGAAGTAAGAAACTATTTTGACATGATGAATTGCAACCCTTTTGTATAAATATTTAAAGATTAACCAAACAACTACAAAGAATTTCTTTTCTTATATAAGTGTCTTTACTTGGAAGTGACCAAGACAGTGTTGTTCAGACTTTGGAAACACATTCACTGTGATTTGAGGTTCTTGCCAAAACAATAAAAATTGTAAAGTAAAAACATGAGCAGTAAAAGCTTGAGGTCTTTAATAAAGTACTCATTCATGGGACTTCACCACTAAAGATTTACTACTGAAAAATCCCATCAAGTGTTTTTACTGACATGTTAATGGCCTTACGAAGAGTCTCATGATGGTTTTGTGGCTCTGTTTTTGAGGTAGGAAACTAGGTTTGTTAGGAAAGTCCAGATGGATGAAGGCAGTGAAATATCCACCAGGCTAAGGGTTAGTTTCTATAGAACAGATTTCTGGTTTGCTTAATGAGTCTACTTCAGTTATCTTATG